CGCTGGGATGGTCGGATTTCGTCAACATCAATAAAATGCCATATAATCATATGTAACTCATTAAATATCGAAGTTAGAAGAAAAATGCATAAAACCATTCTTGTAGAGGACGTCAATGCCTACAATTTCTGTGTAAAGAATTTTTCGATGGTGTCAATAATTAATAAAATGTAATAAAAAATGCATGAATAATTGGGACTAAAATCCGTAAATCAGAACTCCTGAATAAACAATTTGAAAGAGAAATGACGAGATTACATTAAAACGATGAAATAGGTAAAAATAAAGAAGTCTGACAACTCCCAATCACGAACGATGAGTCTGTACGTGGGAAACGCTGGGAGAATTCCCACCGGGCGGTCAGGGAAAATTTATTTCCCCCGGAAAATGTTCCTGAGGGCCGACTCCCACAGGGCCCGAGGCAAACTGTCCGTTTAATTTATTTATGAGCGATTTCCATGCAGTGACTTTTCTTCCACTTCCTAAACTAGCCTAACGTAGTCAACAATAACAATTCCAGTGCCACTCAAGGGAGCCGGTGCAATTCAGCTAATCCATTCACTTGTTCCTGGCTACTCATTCTTGTACGATAAATCGTAATAAATTATTTTGAACCATGTCGACTTTCCAATATTCCCGTTTCATTCCCCTTCTGTCCCTTTCGTTTATTTCAATCATTTGTATGGTTAATTAATTATAGAATTAAATATGTCTGGAATTAAGTCCGCGCGTTTACAGAAATCTGTACAATTTATAACACTGCGCGATATTTTGAATTGATAATCCAGGACATAAAACGCATCGAGGGTCATAAACACGGGACACTCTCGAGGTTTCAATCGTGCACATAAATATTTGTGAACGATTGGAATATTTTTTAAACGCAGCTAAGTGGACGCTTTTTGATACATGAGAAATTTAATGGCTTCGCAAATGTTCGCTGCAACAGCAACTTTTTTTCCTCGAAATCTCTGAGAGCATTTCGAAGTGACATTAAAATTGTTTCGCTTCGATTTTGTAACGAAAAAACTGTCAGTCGCAGAAGTTTGATGATCGAAAACACTGACATTTAAGGAACTAATG